CTTGATCAAAGGGTCTTTTTTATTTACTTACGAATGTAATAACTGAGAGGGTCATAAAGATACACGGTCTAAGTCAACTTATGCCAAAATATAGGGTTTTCATTTTTTAAAGTTTTTTTTAGTAAGTGTTTTACGGCGCTCTAGACTGCATAAGGTCATATGAGCGCGCGGGACACATTAAACATTTTCAGTTGGTAGGAAATTTTGAATTTTGCCCAGGGTCATTACACATCAACTTCTGAGTCAGAGATGACAGCTCCTGGTATCCAGGTACAGTAGAATGAAATAACTGAGTGGCTTTAAATCAGAGTTATAGCCTGTGCAAATTACCCAAACCCGGAAGTTAGTTAGTTTGTTTGTTGTTGTTGTTTGTTTGTTTGAGGTTGTTTTTAGGGATGGGGTGATGGGTTTTTTTTCCTTCTCAAAACAACCTCAAGGTGTTTTAAACTTTTTGTTTTACTGACTCCATCAAATGACTGGTTTTTTTAATGGGATGACGATTGGTTGTTGTTTTTTTAACCCACAGACGGTATACCGAGACGCAGTGAATCACGTGGTCGAATGGTAGTGAATCACGTGACCAAAAGGCAATTGGTCACGTAACCGAGAGGCAGGGAATCACGTGACCGAGAGACAGGGAATTACGTGATTGACAGGCAGCGAATCACTTGATCGCTCACCATGGAGACGATGGAAGATGTCCTGCAGGCTGCCGGAGGCTTTGGCAAGTTTCAGGTCGCGCTTTGCTTCGGCCTCCTGTCTGTGTACTGCGCCATAGGCTGGAGCCTCATGCAGCTCTCCTTTTCTACCATGATTCCTCACTGGCACTGCAACATAAACATATCACGTGGAGCCAGATATCTCACAGCACCACAGTCCAATGATAGTATGCTGGATACCAGCTCACAGTATTATTATACGCAAGGTGGGAGTGATGGACCCAACCTGAGTACTTCACTCGGTGATTTTATTGTTCAGAGCTCGGGATGTTACACACAAGAAAATGCAAGTTTTGAAACGTGTAGCATAAACGGTACTGAATGTGATTCGTTTTGCTTTGAGGGGTCAGCGAAAACTATAATTAGCGAATTTGATCTCGTTTGTGATCTAAAATGGACTAAACAGCTCATAACCTCTCTCCAGATGGTCGGGATATTTTTTGGTGCTTTGCTGTCCGGGCAACTTGGTGACACTTTTGGCAGAAGAAAACCTTTCTACGGATTCCTTCTACTGCATGGCATATTTCATCTCTTAGCAGGGTTTTCGGTGAGTTGGGAGATGTACACAGTTTGCATAATTCTCATTGGCTTTGCGGCGGGGGGAAATTTGGTCGTTATTATCCCTTACTCTCTCGAGTTTTTCCCCACGAGATGGAGAGGTCTGTCTTCTATCATTCCAACCTTCCAAATTGGAGTGGCGATTTTCGCGGGTTTTGCCTATCTCCTCCAGAACTGGTCACACATACACTTTGCGTGCGCTGTCTTCAACCTGCCATTTCTCCTCGGCTGGTTCTTTTTCCCGGAGAGCGCTCGCTGGCTGACTGCGCACGGAAGAATTCACGAGTCGATGCGAGTCATTAAAAAAATCGCACGAGTAAATGGTACGTCTGTTCCACCGGATGCTATCGATGTCCTAGAGGCTATAGCGGGCTCGGGGAAGAATGTAAGATCTTCCGAAAGGAAGTATTCATATAGAGATCTATTTAGAACCAGGAAATCTACCATGACTACCATATTTATCAGCATAATCTGGATTGCGTTAACAGCCGGTTACTACGGCATTTCGTTCGGTATTTCAAGTCTTGGAGGAAATGTGTACCTAAATATTTTCCTCGTAGGAACTGTAGAAGTACCATTGAATATCTTTTCGCTGTACTTGATCAACAAGATTGGTCGTCGACCATCCGCCATTTTATTCTTTACTTTCGCTACCTTGTCGTCCGCCGGTTGTATAGTCGCAGAGCTTGAGGCGCCAGGCTCGGAGAAAGACACTATCATCTCCGGACTATCCTTGCTCTCCAAAATGATGGTTGCGGCCGGTTTCTGCGTCATCTTTGTGTGGGGAATCGAACTCTACCCAACCGTCACAAGAAATCTCGGTTTCGGCTTCGCCAATATGCTCGGCCGAGTTGGTGGTATCGCTGCGCCATTCGCCATCAATCTGGACGACCGGGCGGTAGTGTCTTACGTCGTTCTGTCAGCCATGATGGCCGTCTGCACGGTGCTCTCTTTCCTGCTGGAGGAGACAAAGGGCAGAGAACTCGCTGATACTCTGCACGAAGACAACGATACGACTGACAGCGAGACAACTTCTGCAACGAGACCACTTTACGAGGGAAATATCGCAAACTATGGCTCAAGAACTCCTCTCAATTCACAATAGACATTCGGTTGTTGTTGGGGGTTTTTTCATTCAGAATTTTGACTCGTGACCTAGTCAGTTGACCTTGGAGGCGGATGCATTTTAGACTGTGTTGTTTTAACAAATGGGTACCATGACTTTTCAGAATTCTTCTTTAAACTCTTTTCACTTTGGAGAGTTTTTTTCCTCATAATATATACTTTTTTTGTCTAGCAGGTCCGTTGCTTTGTGAATAAATGAGTTCCTATTTTAATTCTAGTTTTTTTTTCCAAACTAGGTCTAAATTATTCCCCAGATTTTTTTAAAGCACTTACCCATTCGCGTATCTATTCCAAGCACTCCAGGGAAATACTTTTGGACAATTCCATTCTGAAACAGAAAGATGCCTGTCCCTTTTAGTCTCAACTACAATAATAGATGAATCGATCCTTTTATATTTATTCTTCCTTTTCGAAGACACCATCTAGACTTCTCATCGAAGTTGTTTTACCAGGAGATAAAGCCTTTAAAATCTTTTAATGAATTGCTGACGTTGCTACTGCGACACAATTTTTTTTCCCATTTTGATAACAGTAAGTATTAAGTGGAGCATGTGTCTAAAGTACATAGGTCACGGTATGTGGACCTTCAAGTCATTGCTTATAAAACCCAAAGGATAAGTGGGGTGGGCGGAGGGGGCTCTTGGGGACAAAAAATGATGCAACAGAATATAACGAGACAAGAAGCTTCGGTCTCAGCATTTAAAAAAGGCAATCATCACTCTTCTAGACGCTTTTTTGGCTTTTGTACTTTTTAAAAAGGCAACGAAATTCAGTATGTTTGCGCGTTTAGTGCTGCATAGGAATTGATTTTTTGTTATACCGCATTGTGTTTGTAAACATTTTGGTATTTTAAAAATGTAAGCCAGTTGCTTTATTTGATTTACCTTTGTTCGGAGATTCAAAGGTGGCTCATCTCTTTTAAAAATTATTATTGGGCTAATACACACACACACAAAACAAAACAAAAGAAAAAAACCCACATAAAAACAACAACTCAAAAAAACCAACGGCTTTCAAGCAGACACGGCCGACGAACTAAGTAAAACATTAGTCGCCGGACTGTTTTGAAAAACCACAAGAGAATTTACTGTTATCTCCAAGGCTAAGAAGTCAACTATTCCGGGACCGGCGAAGTATGTCACGTTATCTATTTGCTCTTTAGTCTACCAAAAAAATATTTTTATTTAAATGTGGGTCTGCTGTTATCTTATCATGCTAAGCTTGCTCATTAGAGCGGTAGACCGGTGTCTGTGGTGTTGCGATTTGACGCTTTGCGGTCTCGTGCAGAAGGCCGGAGTTCGATTACCATGTGAGGAGACTTTTTATTAAGTATCTTTGTCTTTCTGATGTGACGTTGTATCCCTCTAAGCTTGGATTGATCTCAACAGGAGGGGCCAAAGCCCACCTCCTGAATAACCTAAACTGGGTCGCTGGGAGCGTAACACACCTACTCTTATTTTGTTTGTCTATTTCTTTCTTTCTTTCTTTCTTTCTTTCTTTCTTTTTTCTTTCTTTTTATTACTGTCTCTATGTAGCCTCTTTCTTTGATATAATCGAAGCAGTTTAACAAACATTTCAATAGGCCTACCTGTTTAAAAGGAAATACCTCCGATTTCACCACCGTCTCCGAGAGATTCAAGCTTATACGTTCTTATACTACTCTGACCGCCTAGATTCAAACAGTAATAAAAGGGAAGAGGAGCTCCATTCGCTCAGTTGATAACATGCTAACTTACGGACCGGCCGATGGCCTTGTTTCGAATTTCACACTCGGTGTTCTTGACTTGGGTTGCGTTGTGGAGTTTTCGAGACTCTCAACCCATTTGGCTTGGTCCTATCGGAGACGGACGTTAAATTCGGAGGTCTTGCCTTTTTAAATAAGCTAATTACAGGGCTGATAGCGGCTTTAAACCCTACGCGTACATACTTCACCAATGTAGAAGCTTTCAAGTAATTGTGTATCGTCGGCGAGTTATTTTACCAGTTTTATTTCCTACTTGATAAAACAACTTTATGGACTTTGCACTAAGCTGGAAAAAGACACAACATTTTACACAGTAGCTCTACATGATTCAGATGTTTAGAATCTAGTAAAATTAATCCGTTATTATTTTGTTGTTGTTGTTGTTGTTGTTGTTGTTGTTGTTTTATATCTATTTTATTTAGTTTTTGGTTCATGAAAAGAGTTCTTTATTTTGTTATTGGTTGTTTTTTTTAACTTTTCATGTTTCATTGCTCTATTTTCTTTTCATTTTATTTTCCCTTTTTAACGGAGAGGGAGTGTGTGTGTGTGGGCGGGGGTGGGCGGGGTGGAGGGATTCCGGTAAGGAACTTCCATGTTTAAAAAAATGCAATCTGAGTATGCGACCCTTGTGTAAAGAAAGCAAATGCTCATTATGTGTGATAAAATTGTTACTGCTTATAGTGCTGAAAGTGAAAGCTCTTTGGACATGCATTGCAACTACTGAACACACTCGGCAGGCCAATTGAGATTCTCAAAATTAATTTTTCAGTTAAATATATTTTTGTGTTTTGACGTTTTCATGTCTGTGTGTGTGCATATGCGTGTTTGTGTGTGTGTGTGTGTGTGTGTGTGTG